GCCTTGAGGCCACCTGGGCTGGGGTCATCGGCAAACGGGGCCAGGGGAGACGGGATCGCTTCTGGCTCCTGTGCAGAATTAAGGCTAGTTGTGGAAGGTGGGGAGGTTGCCCACAGCCCCTCGGTGGTGAAGAATCACAGAGTTGAAGCCTTGGTTAGTTCCCTGAAATCGTGGCAGACGGAAGGGCAAGGGGAGAAAGGCCGGCCCACTGGAGGTGAGAGGCAATGTCCAGGCCAGGATGTGCTTTGCACAGTTCATACGCTGGTTTTGCAATGTGAAGTTGGGGATGGGGGGGTCAGGGGTCCAGGCCAGCTGCTCCCTGCTGCTCTTTGCAGAAGCGACAGCTGAGGAGGCTTTACTGTGGCTGAACTGAAAGGCCCTGCTAGTCACCCACCCTTTTTGCAACTGCAATGCGCCCAAGTGAAAGAAGGCCCTTGCCCTGGGCGCAGTCCTTATTGCGGAAAAGCAGTGGAGACAAGAGGATGCCCTCAGCATGCCCTGCTGCCTTCTGGCCCGGCCCAGCAGAGGGATGCCCACTCAGCACAGCAGAGGACTTGCGCAACAACCAGAAAGAAAGGTGGGAAGCCCTCATGCCCCCCCAGTGCTCCAGAGCAGGCATCCAGGCATGGCACAGAGGAGAGCTCCCGGGACGGCATGGCACAGGGCGTGCCCAAGCCAGGAGCCAGGAGCCTTTCCCCGTGGACCTCTGTGGTTTGTCCCAGGCCAGGTTTCCCATCTCTGCTGCAACTGGAAACAAATCAAGTGTGCTGAATTTGGTTGCATGCACAGAATTGTCATTGAAAAAAATTACAAACAGTACCATTAATACAAATATAGTGTTTTATAAAGAACATAGACATTTAAACTTTTTTTTAACTTCCTGAGGCGCTCCCAACCGTGCATTCCCTAGAAAATAATTTAGTTGTGAGAAAGTGCTCTGAGAAGCTTGGCTGTGCTCTGCCACCCAGCCTGCTGGTTGCCGTCCTGCCCTCAGATGGCCCTTGCCCAGATCAGTGCGGAGCGTGCCGCCTGCTCCTGGCAGGGGGCGCTACTGCCCACACATCTGGGCAGAGCAGGTTGGACTCTAACCCCCTCCCTTGCCCTCTGACTGATGCAAAAGGCAGGGCCTGTGGGGCTAGGAATGGAGCCGGGGAGCCGGGCGGCATTGGCGGCTTGCTTTCCGTGGGAATGCGAGAGGATTCTGGGGGACCCAGGGGACCCATGCTCTGCCGCCCAGCCTCTCTGCCCACCCCGCGCTGTTCACAGCTCCTCTTTCTCAACAGCGGTGGAGAAGATCTCCGCGAACTTGCGCAGCTGCTCGGTGGCCGTCTGGGACTCCTCCTGGAGCCGCTGGTTGTTCTGCCTCAGAGTGGCCACCCCTGCCTGGAGGACCACCTTGTCCTGCTTCTCCTGCAACAGACAAGAAAGCGGGGAGGGAAGTCCCAGGACGGGGGCCAGCAGGGGAGCAGCTCCGCCCGTCCCCCACTCCCAGCACGGGGGCTGCCAAGCCCTCTCCCAGCTCCTTACTTTCTGCAGGTCGCTGTGCAGCTGCTTGAGCATGACCTCCAGTTGGTAGACTTTGCCCGTCAGATCCCCCGGCGGACGCTGCTTGCTGCAATGGCGCGACCAGAGGGGGCTGTGACAACCAGCTGGGGCTCCTGGAGAGGCCCTGCCGAGAGGGTCCCCTGCCCAAGCTCTCCCCAACACACGCCCCACGAGCCTAGGGGGGCCAGAAACCACACGGAGGTGGAAGGGGCAGGGCGGGAGGGGGGGGA